ATGCTTCACACCATTAATTATTAGAGTACTAAAAGTTGAAACTCCAGTGGGATGTAACTACATCTATTAGATCAACTAGAGTGGCTGAAATGAAGACTGGTATGAAACTGAAGTAACAGGATCTCTTGTGCTATTTTGGGGAAAATAAAGTGATACTAGTATCCAAAAACCAGCTTGGTGTTTTCTTAAAACTATCATATTCTCCAGTCATGCCACTTATGAAAAATGAAAGCATATGTCCATACAAAGACTTGTACACACATTATAATACCTCCAAACTAGAAACAACTCAATTGCCTTTGGCAGATAATGGATAAAGAAATTGTGATACAGCCATACAATGAAACACCTTTCAACACAAAATGAATGATCTTTACCATATGTGCCACATGGATTAATCTCAAAATAATTATAACTGAGTGGGAGAGGCCAGACTAAAAAAGTACATACTGTATGTCTCCATTAGTAATAGAATTCTACAAAATGCAAATGAGTCTACCATTCAAAAAGCAAATCAGCGCTTGACTAAGGGCCAGAGGTTGCTGAGAAATGTCAGGAGGGTTACAAAAGGGCACAAGGAAACTTTAGGGAGTGATGGAAATGTTCATTCGCTTGATTGTGTGGCAATCTCTTGGGTGTATACATATGCCAATACTTATCAAATTGTACATTTTAAGCGTGTGTGTCTTTATGGTATGTGAATTATACCTTAGTAAAACTGTTCAAATCAATTCACATTTCCATATACATGAAACTAAATATGAGGTGTAAAAATATACAGCTTACGATAGTGTTAATAACATGAAATCTACCAAAATGAATTTGACAAAATGTGTGAAAATTCTCACTGGAAACTTAGAGTAACTGTTGAGAAAAATTAAAGACCTAAATACATAGAGGGACATATCAGAAAACTGTAAAGAAGTCAACTCTTTTGTTGAATTCTAATCAAATCACACAGAGAGTCAAGGAGAGACAGAGAAAGGATGGAGACAGAGAAAGATTGTAAATAAATTATAAAAATAAAGGAAAAATCAAGAAAGAATTATTTGAAGAAGGAACAGATGAAAGGACTTGCTCTAATTAATATCACAATATGCTTATAAAGTGCAATTAAGATAGCCCAGTATTGTTACAAGGAGGTACAAATTGACTAGAATAGAGAACTCTTGTCTTTGACAATGTTGAACTACAACGCAGTGGAGGAAAAGGAATTTTTTTTTTTTTTTTGATAGGCAGAGTGGACAGTGAGAGAGAGAGAGACAGAGAGAAAGGTCTTCCTTTGCCGTTGGTTCACCCTCCAGTGGCCGCCGCGGCTGGTGCTCTACGGCCACTGATCTGATGGCAGGAGCCAGGTACTTCTCCTGGTCTCCCATGGGGTTCAGGGCCCAAGCACTTGGGCCATCCTCCACTGCACTCCCTGGCCACAGCAGAGAGCTGGCCTGGAAGAGGGGCAATGGGGACAGAATCCGGCACCCCGACCAGGACTAGAACCTGGTGTGCCGGTGCCGCAAGGCAGAGGATTAGCCTGGCTGGAATTTTTTTAAAATACATTGCACTTGGTCAATTGGATAACTTATGGTAAAAGAAAATTGTATTTGAATTCTGTCTTTCATCATAAGAAAAAACTGTTGCAAGTGAGTTGCACTAAGCTAAAAGAACTGAGAGACCATATAACAACATATTTACATGAGATATAAAGCTATTCTTTTTTTTTTTTTTTTTTTTTTTTTAGACAGGCAGAGTTAGACAGTGAGAGAGGTCTTTCTTCTCTTGGTTCACCCCCAAAATGGCTGCTACAGCTGGCATGCTGTGCCAATCCAAAGCCAGGAGCTGTTTCCTGGTCTCCCTCATGAGTGCAGGCACCCAAGCACTTGGGCCACCCTCCACTGCCCTCCTGGGCCACAGCAGAGAACTGGACAGGAAGAGGAGCAACCGGGACTAGAACCTGGCAACCATATGGGATGCTGGCACCGCAGGCGGAGGATTAACCAAGTGAGCCACAGCGCTGACCCTGATATAAAGCTATTCTAAGCTATATAAGACTTAGTACCACAAAGGAAAAGATTACATATTTAGATGAAACATTGAATTTAAGGACTTTTCATCAAAAGATGTAAGAAAGTAAAAATGCAATTCACAGAGTAAAGAAAGATTCTGTAGCAATATAATTTTCAAATATTTGATAAGCAATGATTCCAATCAAAGTGCATGAAAGGAATATGGTGTTCTTCAAATTTCCATGGAAAATTTATATTGTGAACAAACTATATGTAGGTTTCAAAAATTTTTTTAAATTTAAAACTTGCTTTTTGTAAGATTTAATCATTTTTAACATTTTGCCATGTCCACATCATATGTAAATACTATATATACACATAATGCTATTTTTCTTGAAAGTGATATGAATATCACATGATATGGGATTCATGATAAGTATCATAAAATGAGGAAAAAGGGATATATTATTGTGTGATGGTTGCAGTCCAGTGAGGACATTTATAAATATATGTCAAATAATAGTCATTCAGACTTATTTTGTTTAAAGATTTATTTATTTATTAGAAAGGCAGAATTACAAAGTGACAAAGAGAGAGAGAGAGAGAGAGAGAGAAAGAAAGAAAGATGGACAGAAAGACCCACTGGTTTATGGACACAAAGGCCAGGGCTGGGCCAGACCAAAGCCAGGAGCCTGGAACTCCTTCTAGGTCTCCCACGTGGGTGGCAGGGGCCCAAACATTAACAGGGAGCTGGCCTGGAAGTGGAGCAGCCAGGCTGCTGGCATTGTAGATGGTGCCTTAATCCACTGTGCCGAAAAGCTGGCCCCAGAAACTACACATTTTTGTATCATAGATGTAAGTTCCACATATGACAGCATGCAGAAGTTGTCTTTGTGTGTCTGGCTTATTTCATTTAGCATAATGATCTCCAGTTGCATCCATTTGGTTGCAAATGTCAGGATTTCATTCCTTTATGTGGCTGAGTAATATTTCATTGTGGATATATACCTAATTTTCTTTATCCAGTCATCAGCTGATAGACATCTAGGTTGATGCCGTTGACTCTACATCTTTGCTATTGTGAATTGGGCCGCATAAACATGAGAATGCAGGAATCTCTTTCATATACTAACTTGTTTTAGATAAATTTCTAGAAGTGAGATAGCTGGGTCGTATGGTTTATATATTTTTAGTTTTCTGAGAATTTTCTAGACCGCTTTCCATAATGGATGTACTAATTTGCATTCTTACCAACAGTATACTAGGTTTTTTTTTTTCTCCACATCCCCACCATCATTTGTTATTTTGTTTTATGACATTTGGATAATAAAGAGCCATTCTCACTGGAGTGAGATGATAACTTACTGTAATTTTTGTTGGAATTTTCCTCAGAGCTAGTGCAACCGAGATTTTTTCATGTGTTTCTCGACCATTTGTTTTTCTTCTGAAAAGTGTCTATTCAGATCCTTTGTCCATTTCTCAGCTGAATCGCTTGCTTTATTGCTGTTGAATTTCTTCAGCTCCTTATATGTCACGGATATTAATCCTTTATCAGATACACACATTGCAAATAATTTCTCCCATTGTGTGAGTTGTCTCTTCACTGTATAATTTGTTTTTCTGTGCAGAGCTTCTTAATTTGATAAAATTCTCTTTGCCTACTTTTGCTTTTATTGCCTGTGATTTTGGAGTTTTATCAAAAAGTCATGGCATGCCAATGTCTTGGAATATTTCCTTTACATTTTCCTCAAGTAGTTTAATGGTTCCTCATAAAGCTTTGTGTAAAAAATAAACTCATCTTTTAATTTTATTTTTCCAAGAAATTATTGAAATATCCTCATATAAGACAATAGCTAAATGGTTGAAAGATTTTAACTGACACTTTTAAAATGACAGTATCCAATTTGGCAATGAAAATTAAAAGCCTGCGATCAGCACTGTAGTGTAGTGGATAAGATCATCACCTGCATTGCCAGCATCCCATATGGGCACTAGTTTGAATTCTAGCTGCTCCACTTCCAATCCGGCTCCTTAGGAGAGCAGTAGAACATGGCCTGAGTCCTTGAACCACTGCACCCACGTGGGAGACCCAGAGGAGGCTCCAGGCTCCTGGCTTCAGATTAGTACAGCTCCAGCTGGTGTGGCCCTTTGGGGAGTGGACCATCAGATGGAAGACCTCTCTCTCTCTTTCTGCCTCTGTCTCTCTGAGACTCTGCCTTTTGAAAAAATAAATAAATCTTTAAAAAATAAAATTATAAATTGTTTTCAATTTCATTGGTTGATTAAGACCACAATAGCACTACTTATTCATCAAAATGGCTAAAATGAAAGAATCAACTACCCAGTGTTGCCAAAGATAGAACATAGAAATTGTAATATTTCATTTGTGGGAGTATATTTGGTTCAACCAGTTTGGAAAGCATTTTACCATACACTATGATCTGCAATTTTGTTTCTTGGTGTGTACCCAATAAAAATATGCAACTGTAGTTAATAAGGATGTTCATTTCAGGATTATTTTTTCATGGTAAAAACTGAATATAACTCCCAACCAAACCACTGACAGTAGTAGGATTTATATTGCAATGAAAGCAATTGAGTCTATGTTTTGTTCAAAAATATAGTTGAATGTCACTAATATAACAATTAGTAAAAGGAGCCAGACTAAAGAATGCTAACTGTGTGATCCTAGTTACACAAAGTTTAAAGAACAGACATAACGTTAGTAGAGCATTTAGGGACGTATGCATACGGAGGAGAGTTATAAAGACGAGAAAGAGAGTGACCATCATAAGATGGACAGAAGGATGGTTCCCTTGTAGGGTCAGCAGGGTTTTTGAGTGAATGGTGGTGGTGATGGGGTTATAGGGAGATGTCTTAGTTCCTGAATATTGAGGTACCTCATTGGTTTCCAGTTATGATAATCATTGAATTCTATACATATATGCTGTATAATTTGCTATGTATGTCATAATTTTCACAATGGCCCTTTTCTTGTAGAAGCAGAGAAGAAGCTTTGAAATAAGGAGTATCTTAGGTGAAAGTAACCTCAGAGATTTCTAGGTAAGCCTGACTTGTTGCCTAAATTCTCTTCTCCCCTCACTGGCTGTTTTCCACTTCCTCCTGAAATATTACACTCAATTTCACCAATTATAGCTTCATTCTGGCACACTAAGCACCTTTTGTAAAAATGCAAATACCTCTAGTAGTTTGAAGAGCTGTCATCACAAGTCTCTTGTTTCCAGATCCCAGAATTCTGTCGAACAAGTCTACAATGATTCATTTACATTATGGGTTAAATTGTCTTTCCTGAACTAGACAGGAATTTAACTGCCATTTAGAACATTGTTTCTGTAGGGATTAAATTCAGATTTCAAAACAAAGTACGGGAATATGATCTATTTGTCATTTGGGGAATGCCTGAACAGTGCCTAGTGTGACATAAGACAGAATTGACAGATTGAGATTTTAACTGGGCTTAAGTTCCAGTTCTGGTAATTATTAGTTATTTTATTATGAGAAGACTACGGAACTTTTATAGATCCAGTTCCCTCATTTGTAGATGTGGGTAAAAATACCTTCCCCTCAAAGATGTTCAGGGGCTCAAATGAGATAAAACACTCTAAAATGTGAGAAACAGAGATTTCGAATTCACAACTGCAGGAATAAAATTGGATTTAAGAGATAAAAAAAGACTAGTAAGAATGTCTTATGGGACTAATGTGTTGTTCCAGTTGGCTCATATTCTATCTCCCTCGGTGTCCATATTTCAGTCTCATAATTAAGTCCCTCTGTCATTCTCAAAGGCTCAGAAAATATCCACAGAGTTTTTCTAACTTACCTTTTGTAAACCTTTGTGAATTTACATTCACATTTTTATCTGAACTCCTTACCTATAACTTCCACCAGGGCAGAGATTAGGTGTCTGACATAGAGTATAAAATAAAATGTTCAATTTGCTCATTTTTTTTTCTGGAATATTCTATTCTACAACCTGAATCACATCTCTAGACAGAGTGTGTTTATAGGATATTTATCTTCTATCTACAGGTATTTTATTTCTTTTTTTTTTTAAGATTTATTTTATTTATTTGAAAAACAGAGTTACAGAGAGAGATAGAGACAGAGAGAAAGGTCTTCCATCCACTGGTTCACTCCCCAGATGGCCACAACAGCAGGAGCTAGGCAGATGCAAAGCCAGGAGTCAGAAGCTTTTTCTGGGTCTCCCACATGGGTACAGGGGCCCAAGCACTCGGCCATCTTCCACTGCTTTCCCAGGCCATAGCAGAGAGCTGGATCAGAAAAGGAGCAGCCGGGACTAGAACCAGCACCCATATGGGATGCTGGTGCTTCAGGCCAGGGCTTTAACCTGCTGTGCCACAGCGCCGGCCCCTGATGTTTTCTTTATTGTTCATATATCTATATTGTGTAGATTTAGAATATTCTCCTGAGATTTAAGATGTAAGGAAGCTAGGTGCCCCTTCATAATTTGAATCCCTACTGAACACTGAAGATTAAAATTTTGAGAATTTTTCTTTGAGATTCTCAAGTGTGAGGCAGCATATCACATGTTTGATTGCATTACTTACATACAGTGTTTATGATTTTTCAAAAACAAGGTGATGCAATGGACTGTGAGTTTTATGTCCTAAGCTTTCATGAAATGCTGAATAAATTATGCTTGCGTTCAATTCTGTTTGCTCAAAATTGTTTAAGCTCCTGCTACGTTGAGAAACTCCTCACTGTGATTAAAGGTGTAGTCAGTCTGTCTGACCCATGTGGCAAACACGTCCTTGTTAGTGCTGCACCTGCCAAGCCAACAGGCTATGCCATGGACGTTTAGAAGCAAACGAAGAAGTCACAAGCATACCTTCTTTGTCGCAGTAAAACATAGCTTTGCTATCAAGAGCAGCATTTTTATAACTATGTATAATGAAATAAAAATGCTAAACTTTTCCATTCCTGTCAAACTTCTATTTCAAAGTTCACCTAGACCCATATATAAGGCCATCAGAATGGCCCAAGTCACCCTTCACGTCACTGCAGTCATGTAGAAGAATGATGAAAGTAACTTTTTGCGGTCTGTAATCTCTGCTGGAGCGATGTTATCAGGATTAAATTGGCTGCGTAAGCTATTGGGCTTTGGTCTGGTGAACTATTTGAACAATAGGAGAATCAATAAGACATTCCAAATGGCCCATCCTCCTGGGAATTTTGCAGTTGTCCGGGTAGACTTCAATAAGCTATTTAATTTGTTATTTCAATTTAAATCAGAGGGGAATTCAGCTCTTGGCTAGTGGTGGTGAGAACTCAATTAATCAAAAGGAAAGAAACACTATATCATATGTACCTCTAAAGTTCCCAAATGTATATGTTTTCTATCTTACAAGTTTATTCTCATATGGGAAAAGTGTCTTTGTTTAATGTCCTCTCTGCTGTGGATGGCTTCCCTGGTAGTTGAGAAAGATGGAGAAAGAGCCTGCCTCTTGGTGGTTGTGGTTTTTGTAGCTTTCCTGGAGACATTTATTTTTGTTTTTGTTCACACTGACCAAGAAATAAGCTGGCTGTGGTTCTGCCGCTTTAGGTCTACAGGTCAAGGTTGCTTGGAGATTATCAGCACAGTTACTTTCGTGGTGACCCAAAATTAGCCTGGACTTCAAAGAGCTTCCTCTTTTCTCGGCATGACAGACTCCTGAAAGAAGTCCTTTTTCCTTTTACAAGGTGAACGCTTCAAAGCACGTGGGAGGAGTATTTCCTTCTCCGTGTTTACCTTTCAAAGGTGAGGAGTTCAGAGACATTTCTCTGTTTGTACAGTAGAATCTAATCCCGGGCTCTGAGGCTGGGGCTCTCCTCGATCCTCTTCTACTGTCAGGAGTTTCCCCTGCTCATTTTTCACTTACTGATGCACTAAAGAAGCTGTGCCAGGAACCCAGAAAGGCTACATTAAATTCCTCTGGAGTGTATTTCTGTCAACATTGTATATCACTGAGAAAAGAACTCAGGCCTGTTTTCAAAGCCTCCCTTTCTTCCACGGGTTACAAAATGTTCACTGAGTGGCCAGAAATGACAGGCAAAGTGGAATAGGAATGTGCACTTGTTTTCTTACTGCACATTCAGGAAGAGTGACTGTAAGACAGGGAGCAGGCTTTTAACCTATTCCACTGAGTACCGTACATATATTTGCCTGTGAAGCCTGCAGTTAAGACAATTTTGAGACACTCTATAAGACAGCCAACGGGGCAAGAATGGCTTTGGACAATGTTCTGAAATGCGGAGCTCATCGTTTTAGACTACTTGCCACCTTCCTTTTTCTGCCCTAGGAAGCCTTGAGGGTGAAGGCAAGGACTGTACCTTTCTAGTCTAGAATATCCCTCTGAACAACAGAACAGAACCTTGGTCTTAAGAATTTTTGTGCTTTTCTTTCTTAGTATGGAAAATATCCAACTTTTTTTAAAAATAAGATTTTTAAAAATGTATTTGAAAGGCAGAGTGGCAGAGAGTGAAGGAGAAGTAGAGAGAGAAAGAGATCTTCCATCTACCTGTCCATTCCCCAAATGGCTGCAACGGATAGGGTTGGGCCAGGCTGAAGCCATGAGCCTGGAACTCCATTTGGGTTTCCCCCATGGGTGGCAATGGCCCAGATATTAGCTTGATCTTCTGCTACTTTTACACGTGCCTTGGCAGGGAGCTGGATCAGAAATAGAACAGCCAGGACTCTAACTGGCTCTTGGATGTGGAATTCTGGTGTCACAGGTAGCAGCTTAATCCACTGTGCCATGACACTGGCCCTGGAAAGTATCTAATGTTTTTTGGTGAAATTTGATGTTTGGAAATAGCTCAAAACCATTTGTAATAGAATCTGTTAAAGTACATTGTCAATCTCTGTAATAGTACTTGTAGTTAACATAATTAACAGAAAAATTAAAATTAATGGCAAGAATTATATATATAATGGCAATAATTTTATATATATAATGGCAAGAATGTATATAATTATATATAAGACTATATATATGTATATATGTGTATATATATATATATATATAAAACACAGCTAATAACACCAGACACATTGAAAACCAAATGAAAGAAAACACACTGAAATGCTCACGTTAGACTGGATTATGAATGACTTTTCAAGTTCATGTGGAGTAGAAAAAAAAGTCAGTTTCATATTTAAAAAAAACAAAAAGCAGATTTACTTTTGCAGTGAGTACACAATCTCTGCTTGAAGGAAATTATAAGTGAAAGATCAAAAATGTTTTAAACAATGGGGTCAGTGTTGTGAAAAATGCACTGGAACTAAGATAAAGATGGGGCCATTTATTGATGAGCTGCTATGCACTAAGCACAGTGCTATATGCCGCACACAAGTGACCTTCTCATTCACAGGTTAATATTTTGATTTTAATATTAAAATGTAGCAAAATTAAGTCATTTGCCTGAAATCATTAGGCATATGAGATAAGGTCTATTTCCTTCCCATACTTAAAGACTTGTTCTTTCTTTTCTTTCTTTTTTTTTTTTTTTTGCCAGGCAGAGTTAGACAGTAAGAGAGAGAGACAGAGAGAAAGGTCTTCCTTCCATTGGTTCACCTCCCAAATGGCCGCTACGGCTGGTGTGCTGCACTGATCTGAAGCCAGGAGCCAGGTGCTTCCTCCTGGTCTCCCATGTGGGTGCAGGGCCCAAGGACTTGGGCCATCCTCCGCTGCCTTCCTGGGCGACAGCAGAGAGCTGGACTGGAAGAGGAGCAACCGGGACAGAATCCGGTGCTCTGACCGGGACTAGAACCCGGAGTGCCTGCGCTGCAGGTGGAGGATTAGCTTAGTGAGCCGCTGCGCTGGCCAAGACCTATTCTTTCAATGACATTAGAAAACCTCTTCATGTGTCCATTTAATCTTCCCATTGGCTAATGGCAAATGCCCTGACATTAAAGATCTTTTACAAACTGACCTAGATCTTACTGCCTGAACTCACTCCTCTGCAGTCAAACTAGCTGACTCCCTCTCCCCAAACTTTTCATATAAGTTCTCACATCCACGCACTCTTCCACCCATTGTCAGCAGGGTCATTTTCTACCCTTGTGGACCAACTTAAGCTCTCCAAACCCATGCAGATTTCTGGAATTTTCCAATTTGTGAAATTATGTCCATTATTGAGTTATTTTATACTATTCACACGGTGCCTGCTTTTTGACATTACTTTATTATTTCATAATAGTAGTCAGTATTTTATGTGTGTATGGTTTTATATATCCACAGCTAGAATTTCATTTTTCTTGAGGTCAAGAATATGTATTTTATTCATCTTTGTGTTTATTGTATAATGCTTAGGAGAACAGAACAGGGAGCCAGTGGCTCTACCACTTTTGAAATACATGATGTTTAACAAGTTATTTAATCTGTTCATATCATACTTTCATCCTCTGTAAATTGTGGCTAATACTACAATTTGATAGATATGTTGGAAGGATTAAACAATACAATATATGTAAAGCATAAAAAAACTTTCAATAAATGTTACCATTATTTCAGTAATGGTCACAGTACCCTTACTATCATTAGTAGTAGTACTACTGCACACTAATAATGAGCCCAGCAAACTATAAAATAACTAGAGAGCTAATCAAACTTAAAGATAACCCTATAAGTCTTTTTTACATCTCTTTTGAATATTTTTGCTGTGTATGGATATCTTTTTTCATTCAAAAAATAACATACATTTACCACATCCATAGTACCTATCACAGTGTTAAATATTTACAAAGTACTTGATACACATTTGCAGAATGAATATGAATTAATGTGACCAAAGTAAAGTGAACAAAAAAAGAAAAAGAAACAAAAAAAATCAAAAAATGAGAACTTTCAAAATAACATTATTGTTAGTTTTAGAGCATGATGGATTTTAAAACAGAGGCAGAGTTGTCAGAATAAGTTTAATAATAATAGGTGGGAGGTTAGAGTGTTGTGGTTTTTGCACACCAATAATTACTTCATTGCAGAGTGATTCATAAGGAAATAGGTGGGATACATGGTTGACTCTTGTGTGTCTGCCAGACATGGTCAATGACTCACATATGGATCAGAGTATATGTCTCTCTTGGGGCGGTTATTAGTAAAATATGACTAATGTTTCCAAGCTAACTAGTGATTCTAAAACATTTTCCAAAGACTCAAGGTGTTCAATTATGCAGGTCCATGTCTTGGGAACCTTATCAGAGAAAATAAATTACCTCATCACATTTCTCTCCTATGTGTACTATAAACAGTGCCCTGGTCTATAGAATTCAGTTAAATCTCAAAATTCCAAAAAGTGAAGCAGGTGTTGGCATAGTGGTTAAGATGCCACTTGGGATACTTGCACCCTATAGAGGAATGCGTTGGTTCGAGTCTTGGCTCTACTCCCAATTCCAGCTAATACACACCCTGGGAGGCTGCAGTTGAAGCACAAGTTGTTGGGACCTGCCACCTGCACAGGATGCCCAACTTGAATTCCAGGCTCCTGGTTCCAGCCTGGCCCAGCTCTGAATGTTGCAGGGATCTGAAGAGTGGATCAGCAGATGGGCAATCTTTGGGTTTGTCTCTGTCTCTCTGCTTTTCAAATAAACAAAATGAATGAATGAATGAAGGAAGGAATAGATAAAATGAACAGGTTTAAAATAAGACTATTAAAATATGCTCCTGAAAGTGACAGCCTAAAGCAATTATCTTATTGACATGACAGCAAGGTTGCCCAGCATCACAAGACAAGAAAAGAACTGAGGAATTTTGAGACCTTCAGTTTCCACTTGGAGTTAGGTCTGTGTGGGTTTGTTCTGCGTGGGGCTTGTGCCTCAGGTTTACTCCTATTGACAGAAGGAAGGTGACAAGTTGAGTTTACAATAATGAGTAATGAGGGTGATCAATCAACTGTGCTCTGTACTACTGAACACAGTCAAGTATTTAAAATATCAATCTGAAATGGCAGGGGGCTCTCACACTGATAGACTTACAAGGAGCCGGAAGCCACAGTTGTCACAAACCATGGATGTGTTTGGAGCAACAAACGAGCTGCCCTTCACGTGTTAAATTGCTGTATTTTTAAAAATTGCTCTCACGGTTTCTGTTGATGAGTCAAAGGCCAAAAAATAATTTGTGACACATTAAACAACACAGTGTCTCTCAGTAAGGAAAAAGTTACATGAAAAATCCAAGCTAAATGAATGTATTATTCCAATCAGCAGAAGGAAAATGTGTTGATAAATAATACCTGCTATCAGTTATTGGAAGCTGATAAGGGGCAATACTATATGTTATAGCTAGTCTTCACTTTCTGAACCACAGATCTGGTTAACCCCATTCCATTGCTTCTCATGACTCTATGACATGAACCTAACTCAGCCAGTACTGGAAATGTCCATTCTTATCTGATTGCTTCTCTCCGTTCCACTCTCTGGAGTTGAATCTCTTCCTTTCACCTGCCACTCACCTCACATTCTTCTTTCCACCCTCTCGTCTCCAGGCTGACTGCTCCCAGATCTTCAACTGTGTTCTGGCATGCCACAGGACTTGACCTCCCCTGTGTGATGGCAAGCGCTTCCTGACACCGACCCTCATTCCTAACACTGGCTTCTCTAGGCGTCATCCTAGAAGCCATCACCTCTGCAACCTCTGCAAAGTCTTCTCTGAACAGTTCTTGCTCCCAAGAACAAAGTTGCTCTTACTCCCAGACATTTGTACAGCTCTAATTTATTCACCCCAACCCCCACCCAGTCCCCTGAAAACAGCACAAACTCATGGAAGCTGTTTACCTATAAGTCTTCCTCAAAAGAATGGTTTAAGGAGATGGACTGTATACCACTAATGCCCAGTCTATGTAAGAATTCAATCAATATGCATTGATTAAATACTCACAAGATAGGTATTATCCTCATTTTACAGAAGCATAAACTTGAGCTTAGTGAGACTACATAATTGTTCCAAATCATGCAGTGAGTAGATGGTAGAGTCTGAATTAAGCCAAGATCTTTTAGGATCCAAAGCCCACCAATTTTTAGTATTAGCCAACTTTTGACCTCTAAATTTAGAGGCAGCTGAATCTACACAAATTGCCACTGATTGAGTGGTATGATTATTCAGGAAACATTTTTATTTCATGAATATAACCTAAGTCAGTGAATGAATAAATGATGGTTATAATTCACACTAACAAAAGACTTTGCAATTCATATAGATTCTGGTCTGTCACATTCTACTAGTGGAATTCTAGAATCTTGAAGAGGAATCCCTATGGCGAAAGGCCTGGGCACCTCTTGTGATAGTAGAATATTTCTACCCTAGCAGAAGGCTTCTTCCCACTCCTGGTTTGCTACTCCCCACTGAGCAATGAGTTGGATGGCCTCCAAGTTCTTCTAAGTCAACTTGCTGCTGAAGCTTGGAGTCTGGTGATAGTGCAATTTGATTAGCAGGAATTGAGGGGCTATGAAGCGAGAAATTGGAAGGTGGGGGTGCAAGTGAGGGGGCTTTTACCAACAGAAGCCCGGAATGGCCATTCTTGGTTTAGCTTGGATTCTCTGGCCACCTCTTATTTTGGAGTGGTGGCAATTTGTGATTTTTATTCTTACATCTGAATCTCTATTTTTTTTTTTTTTTTTACATCTTGTTCCTTTCCTTCCTTTGGAAATTTGACTATAGCCTTAATAATCATGAGCCAGAAAGGAATTTTTTAATGCATTTCCACAACCCTTCCCCATCTCTTCTTATTGTTTTTTTTTTTTTCACGTAGACCTAGTAGGCAAAAGAGAGATAGTTTGGATGAGAGATGAACATAAAAAAGACAGAAGTAAAATTTCTTTTATTTCAGAATCATCTAACCAAGTTTTTGATAATTGGAGATAGGATAGTGTTACTCATTGGGAATGTGAGAACTGGGATGAAGTGGATGGAAGAGGAACATCTAAATAAGAGGAAGTAGCAAAGGGGAGATAAAAGGGGAGAGAGAATGAAGAGTGACTTCCCTCTCCTCCCTTTTTCTCCTGCCCTATAGCAAAGATTTGGGGCTGTCAACAGGGCAAAGAATGGAATGCTGTGGGTTCTCTCAAACAGTACTTGAGTTAGGAGGAAGAATGAATGAATGAACGAGCAGCTCATTCCGTTGCAATGGCAGGGAGAGGGGAAAGTCACTTTCTTACAATGGTGTTTTCTGGAAACTTCCATGTGAAGATACAAGTTAGTTTTCATATTTTAGAAAGTTGATTACCTAGAGTATTGTTAAATGAATATTATTAACTTTACCCTTAAAGCTTTTGATTTAACAGATCAGTAGGGCCTCAGAATCTGAATTTTAAAAATCCCCCAGATAATTCCAATATAGGTGGTTTATATTCCATGCTTTAGATGCATTGTCTGTTCCTGTTTCTGAGATTCAGAAGTAACTTTGTGGCTTAAAATAGTCATATGACTTTATACTTTTCTTTAATGCATAAAGTTACAGTCTATTAATTAGACAATAGCATTTAATTTAAAATATATACTGAGAACAAAAGACCTATTTTTGTACATCTAAAACAGATATCATTCATCTTATTGTTGAATGTCCTATGTTAATGTTGTGCTTTTTCCCCAAATAATTGGCATTGTGACATTCTTCTATCTTCATTTTTTAATGGTTTAATATGATTTTTCTCCCTGTTTCAGCTTCCTATTTAATCTGCTCCTGCCTGTTAAATCAGCTTCCCTTTGCGGCAAAGACTGAGGCTGCTTTTGTTAGATTAAACATTCTTTTTTTTTTTTTTTATCTGACCCAGCTTTCAGCTTCATCTACTTAGCTATATCATTGGTTGGGTAACGGAAATTGCAAGGATGTCACCCAGTGGGAAAATCAACTCACGAAAGAAGGCATAGTGCTGTGTGCTTGACTGTAGAGCATCTCTTTTCTATTTCGAAGCATATCTGTCTCAGCACACCTGGGTATTCCTCCCCAGGGCTCAGAAGAAGTTTGAATTGCCCTGCTCTTAATTAGCAACATCCTTTTCCCCTTATGATACAGGTGAACATGATTCATTCTCGTGTCTATATTCCTGAGAGAGACTCACCGCAAAAGGACACATCATTGCAAAATAAAGAAGGGGTCAATGGTGAAATGCATGAAAGATAATTCACCTCTTTTGTTCTGTGAGGTTTTTCATGTTCCTTATGATATAATCCGACATCCAGCTAAGAGCTGGGAATGCCCTTAGTACGTGAATTTAGATGTTTCAAAGATACATTGCCCCTGACATCTCGTATCTCTTAACCTTTGCATTGACCTTGGCTGCTTTTAATCTGTGTATATGAACTCTGGCAGAGGGCACAGCATGTATTAATAGGCTTCAGTGCATCTATGAAATTCCTGTGGTTGGATGAAATTTGGTGTATGGGTATTTTTTGGAGGTGATCTTTCTTAGATTGTGCGAGTTTCTCTACGAAGTGTGTAACAAAATGATGAAGAATCATTGAAGTAATGGCTCAACACATGGGACTATAAAAAATTAATCCCTTGATGAAATAGTAGTATTTTTCCAGGGGACTCAAAGTTAATTTCCATAAGAGCTAAACTTAAAAGCGAAGTTCTTTTCTCCTCAGGAGAACTCTTATTTTCGGAAGAACTCCAAGATGACCCCAGTCCCTCAGCGCCTAAGGGGCCGCCCATCTCTGAGTTAGGTTCTGTGATCATTCACATGAATCAGTTTCAGGGTGTTTAGTTGTAATTAACTCTGACACTCGATTTCAAAGTATAAATTTCTAAATGCATTCTTATATTCAGTTTTTAGGGATGGAAAAATACAAAGTGCAGAGCAGAAAGACATAACACTTTAAAATTCCTACACCCGTCTATGGGCTATAAAACTGTCTGATATTAGGATTCTTTATTTTAAAAATAATGTTATAATCAAAAATGGCAGGTTATTGGCTCTTTTGGAAAGGGATCAAATCTCAGGGGGATGTGGAAGAGAGATTGGGGACCTTAATAATCTTTATCTCTCTCTCTCTCTCTCTCTCTCTCTCTCTCTCTCTCAAGATTTGTTTATTTATTTGAAAGGCAGGGTTACAGAGAGGCAGAGGCAGAGAGAAAGAGAGGTAGAGAGTAGAGAGAGGTCTTCCACCTGCTGGTTCACCCCCCAGATAGTCACAATGGCCAGAGCTGCACTGAACTGAAGCTGGGAGCCAGGAGCTTCTTCTGGATCTCCCATGTGGGTGCAGGAGCCCAAGGACTTGGGCCATCTTCCGCTGCTTTCCCAGGCCATAGTAGAGAGCTAGATTGGAAGTGGAGCATCTGGGACTTGAACCGGCATCCATATGGGATGCCAGTGCTTCAGGTGGAGGCTTTACCCACTACTCCACAGTGCTAGCCCCCTTAATAATCTCTTAAAGTTTTTCCATTATTTTTAGCTGAATCTACTAAGCTTCACCTTAAGAAAAATTGTCTTGCATATCCTATATAATTTAGGATATGATAAAAATTAAGTACTCCAGTGTTTTCTTCCTTAACATGAGAACAATCATTCCTCCTTTTGTATGATTTTATGTGAGCATTCAATGAAATTAACTAAGCAAAACGTTTAGAACAGAGCCTAATTCCTATGAAGTTAAGTATGTCTGGATGACTAATATTATCATATCTCTTGAATAAAAATTTGTGCAATATGCAAGTGGGATGCTTAGATGAACATTTATCCTCCATTCTTTGGCTTAATCTTCATTGGGTCTCAGTTTTTTTTCTTAAAGATTTATTTATTTAGTTGTGAGGTAGAGTTATAGACAGAGAGAGGGAGGGAGAGAGAGAGGGAGAGAGAGGTCTTCTATCTGGTGGTTCATTCCCCAGATGGCCACAATAGCAGGAGCTGTGCTGATCCAAAGTCAGGAGCCTAGTGCTTCTTCTAGGTCTCCCACGTGGTTGCAGGGGCCCAAGGACTTGAGCCATCTTTTACTCCTTTCCCAGACCATAGCAGAGAGCTAGATTGGAAGAGGAGCAGCCGGGACTAGAACTGTTGTCCATATGGGATGCTGTCGCCACAGGCAGAGGCTTAGTCCACTATGCCACAATGCTGGTCTTGAGTCTCAGTTTTTAAGGCTTTGCTGGGCTTTGAATAGAGTTCACCTTTGGCAGTGTTCACCTGTACGGACAACAGTATTATCCTTATTTTTTTTTACCTGCTTTTCTTATTATTCTTATTTATCCTTTTCTGATTCCATTTTTTCTGACTCTGGTCTCCTGATCAGATAAATGCATCTGTCCTGGATTCCATTTCCTTGGTATTCTAACCTTTTTAGCAAAAAAAAAAAAAAAAAAAAAAAAAAAGTCACAAAATAAGTTGCAAATGTTTTGTGCTACTGTAATGGGTTTGATGCATTTGTGAGTATTTACACTTAATGATATCCTCTTTGGACATGGCTTATTAGAAGGGGGGACTCCACAGTAGAAATCTGGGGCATATCAAATATGACTCTGAACCTCAGGACTTTGTAGAAATGCTATTCGGTCCACCTATGAGTGTGAGGAGCACAGAGCACAAAGGCAGTTGAGGGTCATCCTCTGGTTCTAGTTGGCCTGCATTTGGAATCCTAGCTCCAGATTACAAACTGGATGACCTTGAACAAGCTATTTAACATTTTTGTGCCTAAGTTTCCTAGCCTAAAAAAGCAAAAGCAAAAGCAAAATGGTATCTATAGGAGAGAGCTGTTGGGAGAAGTAGAGCTATTATAAAGCAAGCACCTAGAATGAGATGCTGGATGCATGTGTGTTGGGCATTGCCTAAAATCTCCATTACGATATGGTGCCTGGTGGATGTTCCAGGGGCGTGTCTGCGGCTGCTGCGGTTAAGCTACCTACGATCAGACCACTGGCAAGGATAGGGCCGCTTTAGTTCCAGACACGTGGACAGTGTGTGATCCCTATACTTTGCTTAAGATGCCCCTGTGCATGATCCATCCACGCCTGCATGACCTTTTCACTGATTGGCTCCCCTACTGTGCATGTCTTTTGTAAGCTTTATAAGCCTGCACACTTCTTCAATAAAGCAATTCCTGCTTCGACAGAACTCACGGGTGCTTGTGCTGTGCTCTTGACCCGTCGACTTTACCTTTCCCGTTCGCCTTTGTTGGGGGAATGCTTGTGCTGCTGCTGCTGGTCAGGGGCTAGCATCGGGCT